GAGATCCTTGACCTCATGAAGGCTGGACGCCCCACAGGGTGGGAATTTTGAGGGTGGGGAGGTGGGAGTGGGGGGGTAGGTAGGGGTTACATCCACAGAGAAGAAGGAGGAGGGGTGAGGGGATAGGGGGTTCCTGGGTGGGTGGGGGATGGGGTAAGGGGACAACATATGAAATGTAAATAAAACATCCAATTAAAAAAAAGCAAAAAAAAAAAAGAAAAAAAAGATATTTTAACATGGAAAAAATGAAGAAAAAGTAAAACCTGTCATATAGGAAGCATGGAAATGGAAACGTGGCTTGGAAGAGAAAGGGGCGAATGGGAAAAGATGGAGGCAGGGAGTGGAGTGGCAAGGAGAAGTGTAAGAACAAGCTATGCTGAACAATGACACAGTGAATTTCAGTATTCTGTTACTAATGTCAATACTAGTAAAAAGACTAGTGCTGTCTCTTTGAAATAAGATAACTTTGCTTTTTGAAAAAAAAAAATCAAGTCTTCTGCCTGCTGTGCTTTTCAAAAGTATTTTTTTTTTCTTTTTTTGAGAGCAGTGGAGCAAGGACTAGGTACACAGTTGTGTAAAAATTGGCATAAATACTCCTAGAGTTTTCTATATAGCGCTGAAGAAAACTTAGTGTTTTGAAACATTTTATATTCATATTTGTTTCTTTTTAAAGGAAATTGGGACCAAAAATGATAGTGATATAACTTTAGGGTTGAGAACTTATGTGCATAGAAGCCAGAAAATTCAGTAATGTTTCCCCAAGCAACTGTAATTCAGGTGTATTACATGAAGCTTTTATGGTTTAATATATGATACCATATAGAGTAATAGAAAACATTATATTTTGTATGTGTAACAGAAGAATTATGGATTTTGTAGGAACTGTAATTTTGCATATTCTGATTTAAGATGTGTATAAATTTTCAACAACAATACAGCATTTCTTCATGTTTGTGTTTGAGATAACATTCATTGGTATAGCTAGAGAATCTTCTGGACTATAAAGTCAGTGTCACTGTCTGACTGTGGTTATTGGCATCTCAAAGAAAGATTCTCAGTTGAGAGCATCAGTTGTAACATTATCCTTCAAAGTTGAATCCTAACTCCTGTGTTCACTCTAGAATGTTTGATAATGAACTAGACATCCTCATAGTACAGTAAATGGTCACCTTGGTTTAGCATTAAGAGTGACAGCTTATCTTTAAGACTTTTTTTTTGAACTATCTTTATTTTTAATGCCAATTAATTACCCAGTTAAAGTAACAGAAATGAAGCTAATGGTTTTTTATTTTTCTTCTTCCAAAATTGTATTCCCAGATGTGCAAGTTAGACTTCAAAGGGCTCCTTTATTTTATTACAGTTTTTTTATTCAGACACCTACTTGACTCTCTGAGGTACACTCACATTAGTGTTCTTTTTATTTGCAGAGAGAGAGAGAAAGAGAGAGAGAGAGAGAGAGAGAGAGAGAGAGAGAGAGAGAATATGTGAGACTGTGAGAATGTGTGTCAGCATCTGCTTGCTGTGTGCAGGTCCATGTGTGTGTGTAGGCCAGAAGTTGGTGTTTAGTCACTATCCACCTTATATACCAGGGTAGGACCTCTCATGGAAGCCCAGAGCTCACCAATTTAGGCAAGCTAGCTGTCAGCTTGCTCCAGAGAACCCACCTCCACCTTGCATTTTACTTGGGTACTAGGGACCCAAATTTCGGTCTTCATGTTTGTATGACAAGTGCCTACCTGCTAAGCCATCTTCTCATACCTAATGTTCTTTAGAAATATCTTAATGATCACTAATTAGAATTTTTTTTTGCTATAAGTTAAATTGTCTTTCTTTTTTTTTTTCCCCAGCCAAATCAAATAGAAAACTTACTTTTCTATACTTAGCAAATGATGTCATCCAAAACAGTAAACGGAAAGGACCCGAGTTCACAAGAGAATTTGAATCTGTCCTTGTGGATGCTTTTTCTCACGTCGCCAGGTAGGTTTTCTATTGGGGGCTTTTACAGTCTCCACCTTTTTTGTTCTGTCGTTTTCATGATCTCCTTTGCAAATGGACAATGTCGCACTTTGCAGAGGATTGTGAAGACCAAATCATGCTTTTATGTTTTTCTTGGCCCTTAACCATCATCTCAGACATGTAAACACTTTGAAACAGTAAAGAGATTCATTCTGGTACCAGAAACACATCTTTCTCCTTTGAATTCACCCACTGGATTTCTTTCTCGAGTATGTTTTCTATGGCTGAGCTGTCTCATTATTAGTTTGTGATCAGCTAGGAGTACGGAGGAGCATTTTAGTAATGTCTCTTCAGTAGCAGAAATTGGTTACTGAGACTTTTTTCCCTCTCCATTTCTAGTTTGCTAAAAATAGTAGTCATTACTGTCACTACCAAAATAGTCACATAATGTGTGGAAAAGTAGATGCTTGAGCCACATTGTTGTAAACCTGCAACTCGACCTGCAGAGTGCTGCACCATGGAGCACACAGGCCGCTGGGTAGAAAGCTCATGCCTGCTAAACTTCCATATCACTCGGGCTTGTTTGCCCATCTTGTTGTAGGTGTAAGTTAGGTTCCTAGGAGGAGAATTTAGGTGTTTGTTTGTTTGGTTGGTTGGTTGGTTTGGTAGACTGTTTTGTTCATAAGTATGCACAAAAATACACAGATCTTCGTAAAAGAAGCCATGAAGAGTGACAGTGAGACTAGTGTATTAGACAAAGATGTTCTGGAGTGTTAAGAAGGCGTGAGTGAAAGGTCTTATGTGGGAATTGAAGTCAGTATTCCTTGGAGGATTTGAAATGTTTAAAGAAATAAAATTAGTAGTCCAAAATGTTAAAAAAACACATTGAGCTTTCTGAGGCTAGAGATTTTGGCTTGTACCTGTGGTACTGGCTTCTGATGAACATGGGCACTGAAGTAGCAGAATATATTAGGAACTTGAAGAAAATTACTGAATCTTCAAACAGCTGGTAAGCTGAGAGGAGCTATCTGAAATTGGAGTCTGGGATTTGTTGTTTTGATAAGGCTTAGGTGGGTGCCTTAGACACTGCTCTGTCTCATGTGCCATTTGAGTAGCCTTGGGTGTGTAAGTTAAGTTTTTGAGCCCAAGTTTTCCATCTAGTTAAAAGGCAGGGAACTTCTTAGAGACCTGCTCTGTGTTTTACTCATCCATTTTCATGTCCTACACTCCAGACAGAGAAGGGCTGCCTTTTTCTAGCTCTTGGGCCACACACCTTGTAGTGCTTACATACAGCCTCCAGGTCAAGGAGTGCACTCATATAGTCTCTCACAGGGTGCTCCAAGATGTAGCAGCACTGCATCTGTCCTGGTGCTGAGCAGGGATTAGTAAATATTCGTTGATTCAATTAGGATATTCATGACTAACTGGGGAAAAGATCTGGTTTAAGGGTACTATCCCTGTCCTATAGGGGCAATAAACTAACGCTTTTGATAATCATCAGTGTTCTAAATTAGAAAAGGATAAGTAGGCTAGAAGGTGGATACCAAGATTCAGAGGGCTTGGCTAGCATGTGGGCACATCTTAAAACTATACAGGCACAGTAATACACTCCTGTGATTCCAGCACTCAGAGGCCAGCCCAGACAATGTAATGAAACCTTGTCACAAAGAAAACAAAGAAATGTAAACAGGAGACATTGGGAAAACATCTGGGCACATTCTACCTGGTGTTTCCCAGCTCTTGTCTGAATCCCAGTCTGTTTCAGGTCTAGTTTGGACCATGTTTCTAGGTGTCTTCCCTTTACCCTATCATTAGAACAGAAAGTACTACAGCTACTTTAATACTATTGTACCTCATCATCCAAAAGCAATTTAGTAAGTATTCTTGGTGTGCCTTTGCTGTGACCAGATAGTGAACAAAGGCAGCTGACCCATTAATTCCCAAATTGATTAGCAATATTTTTATGATGCTTCTCTACTTTCATCCCCAAGCAAAAAAAATCTTTGAATTCAGAGAAAGCACAATGTTCATAGAGTGGAATTGATTTGAGTAGTGGTTTAAATAACTAGACTATGAACATGTTATGCTTACGAGCACCTTGTTTTCTTTAAGGTTTGGAGGTAGTTACACATTCATTATTCAACATATATTTGTTCTATGCTACACACTAATCCAGAGCTTGGAGAACAGCAAGGAAGAAGGCAGATAAGAATGGTGAAGTAAACAGAACACTTTGAAATGATATAGACACAGTTAAGTAGAATAGTGTTCTAGGGTGGGCCCTTCTTCAGGCATCATGGGTAAGGAGGTAACAGTCAAGAACCTAAGATAGAGATAATCATGACGTCTTAAGAGGAGCACAAAGTAAGGTGTGGCCCAAATGAGACCAGAGAGAGAGAGGGAGAGAGAGAGGGAGAGAAAGAGGGGGAGAGAGAGAGGGGGGGG